TTGAAAATTGGCCTGCTGATGTAATTGCAGTTAGTTCTAATAACGAGATTTAACTAGTGGTTTAGATGATTTACGATTCCAGTAAGCAGTGGCATTTAATGTAATACAAGTCAGTGTAAGGGTTTTATTAAAATGTAAGCATGGTATACGTTTTCTTTATTGCAAATAAAACGTTTTTATGAAATGAACTCAAGTGTCTGAATGTTCTTGTATGCGTCTGAGTGTCATGGCTTTTCAATTTAGCTGCCTTGCTGGCAACGTCTATATTTAAGAGAGTGGTTGTCACTTGACTGTCGAAAGTTATCCGCATTTGCCTTGATTTTGCATTACTAAGCTTTATTATATGGCTAGCTCCGTGAGCGGGCAAGTTGAATCAAATCCTGCGTTGTGATTGGCTACCCGAGTGGACAAGATGGAGCTATCTTGCCGGCTCGGGACTACCCGGAGTGTCCCGCAAGAAAAATTTCCAAGAAAGCCATATAATAAATCCTTTATTGACCAAGCTTGTTCGGTCAAGATTGCTGGATTTTGGCCTCGTTCTTTTTTTGCCAGTTTATGGACCTCGACTCCGTCTCGGTCCATAAACACGCAAAAAAAGAACTTGGCCAATATCAAGCCATCTTGACCTCACACTTGGTCAATAATCCATACATATATATTACAATTTGGACATATATATCACTTTTCGACATTTTGGTCCTGTTTGACAAGCATACACACGGTTTCCCGCGCTTTGCGTCGACTACATGCACTTGTTTGGAGTTTTAATTGGTTCACTGTATTGTCTGTCCTTTGTGATTGGCTAGAGTAATTACTCTGGTTTTGGTTTTACTGGAGTCAATTGAAACCCGCCCTATTCGCGTGCACAATCTTCTCAATCAACAGTCAGCAATAACTTGAAAAAACCGCGGATACAATGCCCTCACATCTCAAAGTCGCCATGACTTATCTTTCTTTGTTTCCTTTCATGCCTAAATGTAAACATCACCCAAAGAACTCCCAAGAAAAAAATTTTAATTTGAAGAAGACGAGAATTTTTAAAACGATATTTTAAATCTGACAGGCTACCTATATCTTTTGCGGCACACCTAATACACTGCTGAAGATGGACAATGGGCGAATGTGACGTAGATTAAGAACTTAGCATTGAATTGTGTTAAATCGCATTGAATTATAGGTTATAGGAACTATAATAGGCAATCATCTCAATGTAAATATAGGCCATTGTACTGAATTTCGTATTGCCACGTTCATGAAGTTTAGCTGTTCATAGTTTTACTGCATGGTGTTCATTTTTGGTTTTCTCTTTGACATTTTAAGTACTTTTTACCAAATTTCCACTGATAGATAGAGAAGCCCGACAGTTAAAATAGCAAGCAAGAAACCTGTGGTAAAAAGTGATATTGTCAACTAAAATGTCCAGTTGATAAATATGATGAACACGTCCAACTGTTGTATTCAGCTCCCAGAAGAGCCCAAAAGTAGTTTTTCAAAGTATCTTACCAAATGTCCTTATTGTAAACCCCCGGAAGGTGGGGGGAGGGGGGAACTTTCTTGTGAAGGGGACAGGGGTGCTTATTGTCTTGCTTAGGGTTGCAAATTATAGAGTTGGTGAAGACGGAAAAAAATTCGGCAAGCGCGAAACAGAAGAATTCGGAGAGCAAAGCGATCGGGGCGGGGACTTCGTTCGGGCTCACTGGGAGCCTGTTCGCAGGCTAAGTCTCATTGAAAAGCGTTCAAGACAGACAGACTGTCCAAGTTTTTACGCACCTAAGTATCTTCCAGCGTTGCATTCGCAATTGATACTGTGGGGGTTGTTCAAATCGATCTAGAAAGCATCCGATGACAGTGACGAGAGCAATGACAAATCTTACTCTTGCACAGGTGGCGACAAGGCTCCTTAAAGTTACTTAGCTCTTATTTGGGTGTCTGGGTTACGTTGGTATCGTTTAGGTGTCAAATAAAGCTTGACCCATGTTCCAATTACTGTCCTTTGGTGGATTAACTCAATTTTTCTAAGAAACATCCCTACTCCTTCCACATGGGAGCACCCCGAGTTATATACATTTCAAACATAATTTTCAGAACGATGCCAATCTATTTACAGCTTTCATTGATAAAAGAGACATCTCATAACAGGATCACCATTTCATTTTTCTTCAGGAATAAATAAGCTTTCACTTTCTTAGTAGTTCTTTAGTCTTTTCTTCTAGGAGTATATCAGTATCATTACAAAACTGGTCTGTAAGCTGTTCAACCTGTGAAAAAAAGATGAGAATGAATGAAAATCTCACGAAGTTTCAAAATGCTTAGAGGCTTACTTGACTGTTCCTCGTAAGGGGGAACAAGAAATGTCTGAAATAATGTTACAGAGAAGTACATGTGTACACAGACCAACTTAATTTTAGACAACTTACAACTTTTAACTCCGTAGAGAATGATTAAAGTACTGTGAGAGCTTTGTTAAATCCTGGAGAAGGGTTTATTTCTGTACAAGACCTTTTCAAAGAGAAGGGGGCAGTAAGNTTTGGGCTTACGCAAACATTCATAATATGAAAATGATCTCCTTATATCAAGGTTTGTTATATTGATGTTCTGTTCTGTTACATACATTTGCCTGCGACTTTGGTTGGACTGACAGACTTGCTTATAATACAGAAGTTTGTTAAAACTATTAAGTTTCCACTATAAAGTCTCACCATTTAATTGAAGGCTACATTATAGAGTTAAGGTAAAAAGGTAAAGTCTGCATACTGGTCAAGTGGCCCACCAGGCCGGAGCTTATCCAGGTTTCTGTAGCATGAAGCAACTAGGAGTATTTCTACTCCCCCTGGATGGAATGCTAGTCCATCGCAGGGTTACCCCCAGGATAAAGTTCGTCAGTAACCATTTAAACATCCTGGCTGGAGAGAGGCGCTTTGAGAGTAAAGTGTCTTGCCCAAGAACACAACACAGTGTTCCCGGCCAGGGCTCAAACCCAGACCGCTCGATTCGGAAACAAGCATACTAACAATGAGGCCACTGTGCCTCCCTGCATGATAGAGGTTTTACTTTAAACATAGCACAGAATTACCACATCTCTACATCTCAGTGGATAATTAAAACTCACTTGGTTGAATGCTGACTGTTAGTTTGTCTTTGAATTCAAGCTGGAGGCTGCCCACTGTCTTTTGCATGGTAGCTTTTAATTTTTCCAAATCTACCAGCCCTTCTGCTAAATCATGGTCAATTGCAACATTTGGGGATTTAGCCTTCTTTCCTACAAGAAAAGCAGGATTAATATTGCTGTAGTGAAGTAAGGAAGACTGTAAGTATTAAAGGAAAAAGTAATGTCCTTTGAGAGGAATTGTCTAGCAACATGTATATCTGCATTCAATTAAGACTGCAACTTAGAGAAGTACATTGAGAAGCTGAATGTTTCTTGCACTGTTGGAGCATTGGTGGTCTTTAAGTTCCCAACTGTTTAATATACAACTCAACAACCATGAGAAGCAAGTTTACTAATTCCTTTGCAATATGTTCAAGGAGGTTGCTAAATAAAGTTTGTTCTGGATACCAGAGGGGAAAAGACAACGGGGAAGGCCAATAATAACTTGGAGAAGGTCATCAAAGAATAGTTCAGTTTCAACAGATCATTTGTTTTTCACTAAACTGGCATTTACATACTACATAGTTAGCTGATACAAATATTTAGGTACCCTATCAGGAAGGATCACACTGGAACACAATGCAAACAAGGGCAATTAAGGATCGAAAACCTCAAAAACCCTACCCTATCCCGTGGCACATACCTATATAGCCTATATATGGGAGTACCCCCCGAGTTATACTAAAGTAACTCAAGCCTCGAAAAACTTATTGATTTTCAACACCAGTGTTACAAAAATTCAAGAGTTCAGAATCAAAAGTTTGATTTAGTTCGATTGTCCAATCATTTTTGTGTGAGTTCGATTTGGTTCGATTGCCGAACTCAGTCGAACTCAATTCATGGATTGAGTTCGATTTAGTTCGATTGAAATACAGTTCGATTGGGTTCGATTGACTACGCCGGGATTAAGATAACATAATGTAGGGTCAATGCAGGATTGCACCCCATCCCCATCATCCCGAGGGTTACCATTGACGTGAATGCACGTGAAAGCATGTGCGCGCAATCATCAAGCCCTTACCTTTCTTTGTGGCATAAAATCGAGCCAAAGCTAGCCTCGCATACGTTGTCCTTGTTGTGCTCGCACCTAGTGTCGCTGAAAGTCGCGAAAAAACTGAGGAATTCATTTATTTCCAGTGGTTTTCCAGCGTATTTTGGATAACAATTGTCGAAAATTTGATGATTTACAGCCAGACTACAGGTCAGCGGTAAATTTGTCCTGGAAGTAACTACTTCATATATTTCTAACGCGCATGTTTTCCGCCATTTTGAATTTTATAATGATTATCATATGATTTAGTCGCGTGTTACATGTAATTATGCTGGGCGTTGTGCAACTCTTTTTGTAGCCACTTTAATCTTTTTCGTCAAATGCGTCGTTTTTAGAATGGTAGGTAGTCAGAATGCTACAGACGATGGAGATCAAGGGGATACCGAGCATTCTGAGGTGAAAAATTTGCCTGTCGAGGGACCAGGAGCGACAAAAGTTGTCAACGCTCAAATTTTGGCTAGAGGCTACACGAAAGGTTTGCTCTTGCATAATCAATTCTGGCTTAATAAAAAGTTCTTCAAGTTGGTTTGGCCACGGGATAGGTTTATCTAAATATAATCTCGTTAAATCAGTGGCCTTAACGTTGAATATCGATTAATTCCAATTTTTTTTACACCTTGAATTTAACGCTTGTATGTAAGAGTTAATTTAAAATTGTTTAATACCGTTCGTTTAGCTTCAAGTCGATTAGCCCCAAGCCGGCCCCCAACCAGAAAGTCAATTGGCCCCCAATGAAGCTTAAAAACGAGAAATAGACAGTGTTTTTGACTTCTGGTTAGGTGCTAAACGGTTAGGGGCTAATTGCCTTGGGGACTAAACGACTGGATACCATATATTTCATTGATAATCCAACTACAGCGAATACCGTCCAAATAGCAGTACAAATATACAGCGATATTGTACAGTTATTTGTACAGTAGAAAACCTGTTTGCTGTAGAGGTCAGCGCGCACACACAAAACTGTCACACTCTCCCTCTTTCATTAATAAATTTATTGACTGCAGCAGTTTTAAAATAAATCGCTCAATAGATGTTTTGGTGTGTAGTATCGCTTTATATTTTTACTTGTTGTTTGTATTTTGACTCGCCCTATGGGCTTGTCAAAATGTGGCACAACTTGTAAAAATGTGGCACAACTCGTAAAAATATACAGCAATACTACACACCAAAACATCTAATAAGATATATATATATATATTTCTAAATATATGGGCTACGTGTGTTTTCTGTGTGGGTGTACATGCGCTGTGGTTCATCTTCTCATCACTTGGGGTCAAAGCCTACCCTTTTTTTTTCTGAGTAAACCTGGACAATCAGATGCTTGATGCTACCATCTAGGTGCTACTAGCAGATTGATAGTACTCTTAGTCTTTTTTTTTTTTTCTTTATTTTAATTTTCAGGCAAAAGACGTCTGGAAACCTTTAGTGTAACATCGTATGTCATTTTGTCAAGCATTGTTCTGTTCTTCCTGTGTAAGAATTTTAAGTTCAGTGAAATCAGAACAATCATATTTGCGGTTGGTGAGTAGCATGAGAACTTCTTGACAAAACTGAGGGTTTACTTAAAGTATTTTCACAAAATTATTTAACATATTCCATGACTGTCTTGATAAAATATTGATTCTGAGTAGAGCAATGATTAATATAAAATAGTGATTACCATGAAGTAATGTAAATAAGGAAAATATTCAAAAAAGTCTAATATAATTTATACTAAGTCATAACTTTGTTTTGCAAAAAAAATACCTAATTATGTAACGACATGTATTCTACATGTATAAATGAGTAGGTAGTGATAGACAGGGATGTACAGGGAACCTCACCATTTCTGTGCTGCACCTCATAGGGTTTAATAATATGGTAAATTGAGCCTGCTTTAGCTTATAGGGCAAGATTCTAGCACCCTTACTGGTCTGACAGGTTGTTTTTGGAGTACTTGTAGCTGGTTGTCGGGGTTATTTCATCTGATAACAAGGATCTGGAGCTCTTCAAGAGCTTCAACTGACCAATAAGGTGACAAGAAAAAAAGCAAGATTCTGTTTTGCTTATTTTTGTTAGGATTTGCTATTGTTTTCTCCTCAAGCAGGACTATTTTTATTCTCAGTTACTGGTGCACTTGCTGCTGATTTTTTGTCTGGTCTGGTTCACTGGGGAGCTGACACATGGGGATCAGTAGATATCCCTATCTTTGGCAAGGCCTTTATCCGTCCATTCCGAGAACACCATGTGGACCCCACAGCCATCACAAGACATGATTTGATTGAAACCAATGGTGACAACTGCATGTTAACCTTGCCTGCGTTATCTTATATGGCTTACAGATATTTCACACTGGACCAAGATGCCATAGAAGTGTCTTACAAAATGGACTGTTTTGTGTTTTCCTTGGCAGTTTTTGTCACCCTTACCAACCAGATCCACAAGTGGTCTCACACATACTTTGGTCTACCATTGTGGGTTCAAAAGCTTCAGGACTGGCATATAATCCTACCACGAAAGCATCACCGCATTCACCATGTCTCACCTCACGAGACCTATTTCTGCATTACGACAGGGTGGTTGAACTATCCACTTGAAGTGATCAAATTCTGGCAGTGTTTAGAGTGGCTGATTGAGAAAACAACAGGGGTTAAACCTAGATCTGATGACCTCAAGTGGGCAGGGAAATCCAAGTAATAAGACAAAGGATACTTCATCAACTTCTAGTGGTCCAGTAAGAGCAACTTCCTCCACAAAAACAGTACTTTTACAGGTCCACATACAAGCAAATGACATACGGTATGCATATGAGGTAGCTTGTGAAATATGTAACAAGACTTTATGTCTTGCAAGTTGGGAAATTAAAATTACTAGCTAGCGTGTTTTGTCAGAGGTATATACCTAATGGAGATTTTAATAAATGAAATTATAAATCAAAGGCGATGACACACATGTTTTACTTCAAAATGAAACCCCACAAATTTTGGATGCATTTGATTTCACACAAAAACCTTTCCCAAAGGTTTTTGCCATCCAAAATTTTTAATGTCCCAAAAATTTAAAGGGTTGAAACTGAGCATTTGCAAGTTGACATTGTGCAGCAGTAAATTAGAATAGAAATTGTGTAGAATAGAATAGTAAGTTGTGTATTTTATTAGTCATGTATTATAGTTAAGTACATGTATATTTAAGTTTTTAGTTAGTTTTATATGTACTTTTGATGTCACAAGTTTCAATGGTGTTTGTATGGAATATTAATGTGAAAAGTAAAAGAAGAGCTTCCAAAATTTATTTGTTTAACAGTTTATGTCCTTGGTTTCTTCCATGCTACAGTTAGCCTGCATAGCAAGCGTTGCCGTGCGAAGAGCTTTTCCGCTTTCTGGCTGTGCTTGAATTGGAGCAAGAGCAAAAAATTGACAAAGCAGGGGGTGGTGAAGCGAGGAGGGAACGCTTCCCTACAAACCCCTCGATTTTGAAAAACCAGTATGCCCACAAATACGGCTCCCAATTGGTGCAGTGCGGCCATCTTGATTGAAAATTCCCTCCCTTGCCTCACCACCAACTGCTTTGCTGAGTTTTTGCTCTCACTCTAATTTACACATGGCCAGAATGCGGAAAAGCTCTTCGTACAGGAACGCTTGCTATGCAGGCCATACTTCAGTGTGTACTCACTGTGGTTGGTGTGGACATCAACAGAATTGTCAGTGATGAAACCAATACCTGCATTTCAAATGACTTGTTACACAAAGCAAAGACAGTAAAATATCCTTTAGTGCTCTGTGAGGCTCATAATTAATGCAAGAAATTCTCAGTTTTGCAACTTAACACGTTCTATTTGTTAAGTTGGGCTTCTGATCGGTTTATGTCCCTCATTTTGAACACCTTTATTTAACTTATTGAAGACAAGTTCCCAGTACTGTATTTTCGAAAATTTTGTTTGAATATTTTCAAATGAAAAAAAAATCAGTCGGAAAATTGTCTGTTCAAATTGAAGCATCCAAAGTTAAGTCTGTCCAAAGTTTATGGGGTTTGATGTAAGGTTGTGTGACCGAAAATTATTTTACCTGATTCATATAAAATTGGTTTCTCTGGGTGAAGTGGTACACCACAGTGTTGTTATAAATGCCTACCAACAATCTCTTACAGACTGTCATTTGGTTGAGCAGTGTAACTGATTCTGGTGCAGAGTAACCTAAATGGTACAAGTAGGGGTGACAAATGGTAAAATCCAAACTTGGCCAGACTCCAAGACCATTGTTTAAAAATTTGAGCCTGAGACTTGCATGATTGTAGACTCCAAAATCAGAAAAATATGAGACTTTGTGACTTGTTACAAAATATTCCAAGATTCTAAGATTGGTTCAAAAGTTTCCTAGACCCACAATAATAATTATTTTCTAGTTACGATTGGCCACCCCTACCAGTCAGCCAGAGTTTACAATAATTATTGTCACAGATGTTAATATTATATATTTTGATGTTATATATTACTTTGTTTGAGATCAACATCAATTTTGTTTTTGCCTGCTGTAGCAAAGTCTCCATGATGCTGTTTTAAGTTGCATGTGGGCTATAATATTATACTAGGGTTCACGTAATTTCTGTTTTGAGAGGTACTAGTGCCTGAAATTTTACTAAGGTGTACAAGAGATTTTACTTGTGTAACAGTAATTATTATTGTATATTTACAGACTTTTCAGAATAGAAATTATCCAGAAAAATCATGTCTCATGACCTTATTAGTTATCAAAATGTTTTGTATTTTCTTTAGAGGAGATATAAAGTATTGTTTTAACTTAAACAAAGACAGATTTGTTCTAACTCAACAATTTTCTGAAAATAATTCACTGAGTATTGGAAACCAGCGAGGTATATATTTGAAATAGTGTTGGTATACTGTGTGGTTTGGAGGGAAGTAATAAAGTATAATTTATTCTATTTGGTATGCTGTTAGTGAAAGTATGGAAAATGTAGGGAATAAACTTTATAAAACTATTTTGTCTAATGCTGTCAGATTTTTGGGTGGAGGTTGTGATGTGTGACTTGTAAAAGCTAGAGTTTTGTTGTTACAGAAAGAGTAATGAAAAAACCTGGTCATTGAAGTTGAAACCTGTAGATTCCCTACAAAGCAAACCAATAGCCAAAACCATGGTACGTCTACCAAGTGATTTTAGAGGTCTGTTGTCCAATATTATTTACAAAAACCCACAGTGAAAAACTGATGTGTTCTCTTACAAAGTCCCCTCATTTAAACTGCTGATCTAATATAACATTGACTAAAAAATTGCTTACTCATTAAAATCACCAGTCAAACCAGACAACATTGTCACCGTTAACTTAGAAAGAATTGACATGTTTTGGATTCGGCATGATTAAAATAACTAATTTATAAACGATTTGAGTAAAAATACAGTGTTCTATTACTTTCGGGACGAAAAAGAAATCTGNTTCCCAGCCAGCTCAACTTTAGTCTGCAGAGCGGATATTTTGCGGAGCGGATCCGACGGGTACTCCTGTGCAGAGTGTTTGACAATTAGTATGCATTGTCCCGCAAGCCCAAATATATGCAGAGACGCTTCTGGAACTTTCTAAAATTTACATAAGTATAAAAACTTGTAGGTTTAGCTCGACATTTCATTCATTATTAGTGTGTGTGTTCAAGCAATAAAACTTTTGCCAACCGGAGTAGTTAACAGAGTGCATATACGAGTGAAGGTGAGTGAATACAAGAGAAGGTGAGTGCATACAAGTAAATGTGAGTGCGTACAAATGAAGGTGAGTGCATACCAGTGAACATGGCTGAAACGAAGTGAAGGAAATTGCGTACAAGTGAAGGTGAGTGCGTATAAGTGAAGGTGAATGCATTAAGGTAAATGTCAATGAATACAAATGTATGGAAGTGTGAGTTGATCTTTTTGCCATATTAGGATATACCATATATGGTATAAACATTAAGTGCCCTATATGCATGCATGAAGTTCTTGCCAATCTCGTTCCCAGAGTCATCGTTCCCCTTGACCAGCGGTCGGAAAACTAGAGCTCTGGTTGTTGCGGGGGAAGACCGGGGGAAGGAGAAAGCCCCGGAAGACTGTGGGAACGGGATTGAGTTCTTGCCGGAAAAGCTCTTCGTACAGGAACGCTTGCTACGCAGGCTATGGCCTTAAAAGAAGACAAGTCTCTGGTAGTACACAATGCCTACCGCTATCCTGAGCTAACCACTTTTGGCCCAGAAATAACCCTGAAAGTGCCGAAGCTTGACTGCCTTATTTCAGTGATAGCGGTAAGTTTCATACGTAGGCTACTCGCCTAAGCTGGCAACTCGCTTTAGGCATGTTTATGAGCAAAAAGATGGACAACTTTCTTGCCGATTCGGTAGAGGAGAAGGTAGTATAGATAACTACAACGCGAAAGGAATTTTAAAACTTGAAACGAAGATGAATGTCTTAGTTAAGGCACACGAACGTCTCGACGAAGCTCGCTCAGCCAAACTGTCAACGCAGTCACGGTATCTGTCATGCATGAGAGCTAACGTTGATGTGTTATTATTATTGTGGCACACGCATGGTATGGACGTGCACGCCAGTTGACACAGGCGCGCTTTACGAAAAAACAAATGGTGACCTTTCCCGATCGATCCGAAGGAATCGTTAAAGTTTCCACGTAACCAAAGGAGTACGTC